TAAAGATCTAATGTTATGAAAGATGTTAAAACAACAAAATTATATATTTTTTAAACTAGTAAAAGAAAAGAATATGAGTTTATATGATAAATTATGATATAATTAATAATTAACTTTAAATTTACCAAATATGTAACATATATTTTTTATTTTATGCTTTCATTAGCTTTTAAATTTGTCCTTTTTTTATTTTTTACCAAATTATGGTACAATAGTTAACCTATATATCCTACACTACCTTTTTAATTTTATACGTTAATTAGCACTGACATTTTATGTTTACATTATAAATTGTAAAATTTTAAATTAATGTCACGTGTAAAATATTTTTTATTAGTTGGAGGAGTTTGAGCAACGTCAAATTCGGATTCTGAGCCCCATGACAGATCAGTGCCTGTGTTGGTAAAATATAAGAGGTAAAGATAATTTTTTATGGAGTAATTATTTTCTTGATGCAGTAATTATTTTCTTGATGCAGAAAGGGATAATGGGAGCTGAAAAATAGGAGAAGATCACAGTTAAAAAGATGATTTTATCTAATAAGGGTACAAGTGGCGAAATTTGAAAAGGGATTATATTAGGTCAAAAGGGTGTCCTACTACTTCAAAAAACCATCCATGATTGAGTAATTGCAGAAGGTGGAAGTTACTGCCGGCACAAGAAGAACAAAAAAGAAATTTTGGAAGGGAGAACGGACGGCCAGCTCTACTCAAACATCTGCAAATTTTCAGACTTGGATTTTCTCTACTTTCAGATTTCGGATTTTAGCACAGATTCCATTAGAATTAGGTTGTTTTTCATTATTCCAGTAGACAAATTAATTCCTATATTTAGTTAAACAATTTCCTTTCATGCAATGAACTTCAATCCTTCAAGTTTATGTAAGGTACTGTTTTCTTTTCATTTGTAATTAATTTAATATTTATGATTAATAGTATTTTATTCAATGATTACTTATGTGATGTTATACCTCTTTTCAACCTCAAACATGGTAATTTAATTACTGTTCATGTTAATTTTTATATTAATTAGGATGAGATCTTTAATTCTGCAGCATTTTAATTTCTAGATCTGTCAGTACATAGCATTTTAATTTAATAATGAACATGTTTAATTAAATTTGGATACAGCTTTCCTCACAAGTTTACTTTAAATTGCAGGTTATTTAGTTCAATTAAGATTTATTAATTTTAAGTCACGGTAGTGTTTAAGTACTTGGAGTTGTCCAAGACAGATTTCGTAACTCATTTTGCAAGAAGGTATCTATTCCTCTTACAAATTGTCTGAAGGCGCAAATTACATTTTAATCCAACGTTCTTTTCGCCATCTACAAAGAGATCGACCGTGAGGAAGGAGAGGGTCATTGAAAAAGTCCTCCTTTTTTACTTTCAACAAAATAAATGATACGTCCGCATCTAAATTTTACACGTGCGAAGTCAATAGAGGATTTTTGAAAAAATACTATATTTTTTACGGATGGCATGGCAATGACACCTTTAATAATTGCAGTGGGCTCCTCTTGTAGAATTTTTCCACCGAAAGGTTCCATAAATCTTGCTCCTCGTCCACGCTTAGATATCTTTAACAAAAGCAGTGGGCTCCTCTTGTAGAATTTCTCCATCAAAAGGCGCACCCCATGCTTCTTCTAGGTCATTGTACAGCAATGTGTGTGGTAATTAGCCCTCAAGACACCTCTAAGGATAGCCGTGGGCTCCTCTTGTAGATTTTTTCTATCCAAAGGTACCATCAGTCTTGGTCGTCGTCCATGATCATTGTGCTGGTGCTTCTTCTGCGTCATTGCATACCAATTTGTGTGCGGCAATTTTGAGATGCTTTCATAAAGTAAAGTTGGATGTTCATACACAGTTTTCAAAAGGTACCATGAGTCTTGGTCGTCGTCCATAATTATTGTGCTAGTGCTGCTTCTGCGTCATTGCAAAGCAATTTCTGCGGGGTCATTTTGAGATGCTTTCATAAAGTAAGTTGGATGTTCATACACAGTTTCAAAAGGCAGCAATGACTTTTAATTTTTCATCCAGTTATAACTTCTAATGTTGGATATGATTGTAATTTATAATTATTTATTATATTTTATTAAAAAAATAAATATATAATATTAAAAATAAATTTTTATAAAAAAATAAAAATATTTTTAATTTTTGTTTTTGAGGACAGTGACCTGATTAGAATTTAACATTAGATGTAACACAATTATAAATTACAAAAAAAAAATCAAGCTAAATGAGCTATTTAACATTTATAATTTCTTATTATTAAGATAATCTATAAATTA